TGCAAAAAAAAATTAAGTTGTATTTAACAACCGTGACCCAGAATTAAGGTGGATATTATCAATTTAAAATATTTTAATTCTAAAAATATTTGAGACTAATTGTTTTACAACTTGTTGCCAGGGTTGCTACATAGTACATTGTCCACTAAGAATACCCTCTTCCCCATATCTTCCCGTGGGTGTCGTAAAAGGCGACAGAAGTAAATAGGCAGGAGATGAGCAGCATCATCTCTCTTATAACAGCAATAGTACGAATAATATGTCTTCCAGAAGCGGCTCCACAGAAAGTGGATCTGGTCGAGTTTCCGACGGTTCAACAAGAAACGAGATTGACTACATTATAGTGACTAGATGGTAACTGTTCAGTGATGTCTCAGTTATCGCAAGGGTGAAAATTGCTACAGGTCGTATTTAAAAGCGATAGAGCGGAACCAGGGTCCCAAAGTCTTTGCCAGAGATCTGTCTGCCAGAAAGAGTCAAAGAACTGTCAAAGCATACTTAAGAAAGTAAAGTCACGCCTAATTCTATTATTTATCAGAATAGAAGTTATTATTATGTTTTTTTTTAGGATAGGGTGACAAACTAGCACACAGTCCACCTGATAGAAGTGGTTGCTGCGGCCCATAGACATCTACATCTATCCTCGATTACAAATCAAAATGCAGATGCGTTGTCACCCGTGAGGACTAAGATGGAAAGCCTCGTTTCCAGTAAAAAGGGTCTCCGGTTCTCTACACTCACCATACGAAACACAGCAGCATTAAGCTACTATTTTACGCTGGTATTCTGTGAGAGCGTGGTCCTTCCCCGGTCAAGCCGGCCCATTCATGTATATGTTAATATAATGTATGTTCCATACAAATATACTACTAATATAACTGCAGCTCGGCTCTACCACATACAATTTTCAAAATTAACGTAACTAAGTATAATATGGAACAACTAGTTATAGCGCAATCCCGAGTCTAATTCCTACCTCTTTCGGGCCCCGTAGAAAATGCTTTAGTAAAGTCTGCAGCACCATTGTTTATCCTAGTAAACATACCCCAATAAGACATAATACAAAATAGTGAAAGGTATAAAGTAAAGCGAATCTAGTTTGTGGGCAATCTCACTACTCATAACAAAATAATAATAGAATATGGGTCGCTAGTATATCCGAACCCAGCTGTCTTATTGCTGTACCTAGATAATGCTAACAAAAGAATATGTTTATTGACTGCATCACGAATGTTTCGATTTGACCAGTGGGTATCACGCCCGAACGAAGTAAAGAGTGATAAACGAGCGCACAGTCCACCTGATAGTAAATTGATGCTGTGGTCGACAGACATCTAAATGTTATAATTTCCTATATTACACTTTTTACTAGTGGTTTATAGTGTGTTTTGTATAGTGAGAATTGAGGAATTTTTTTTCTAAGTTTTCAGAAGGTGACTACTTAGGCGTTTAGATTATTATCGGAGATAATTATTATCAAAGCTTATTATTTATAGATATTTCAGTAGGTGTCTACGGGCTATAGCAAACTATTGCACTGCTCGTTTCTCACACCAACAAATATAAATCCTATGTATCTACAATCAGTTTTTTAATGTAACATGTGCTATAAAAACACAGAGAACCATGGAAAAAATTCATGACTATGGATAATAGTTTCTGAAATCGTAGGTAAACATCAGTCTCTAACAGATAACGTGGGAAGCATTCAAGTGGCATATTAGAAAGTTTGGTTTTTATTTTATTTTTATATTTGATACTGAGCAATAAATAAATAATTTAAGCATTTTTAATTTAAATGTACTCTGCTTGTACTTGAGCTTTGTGTTCTGAGCGTACGTTATGTTAAGATCAACAATAGAAAAAGTACGATATCAAGCGCTTTCTATTTTCATGCATACGTCATAATTAATTTCTATCTTCTCACTCATATATAGAGTCATTTAATTTAATTTTATTTTATTGCTATCAAAATACCTAAATTTATTTGATTTGTTTTCATTTCGTCTTTCATTTGAAATATCAAAGCACCTAGATCGGCAACAAAGAACACTGTCTGTCTCTGCACAAGACTACAATGCTACTATTGAAAGCTCAAGCTGAATCACAATTGTTATGATCGCAGCAAACAGTTTTGGTGACATCTGTGTTGGTTTAAAACAAGATTGTTCACAAGTAGATAACAATGATTAAAATGTGGCAAAATTGTTTTACAAATATATATATATATATATATATATATATATATATATATATATATATATATATATATATATATTATATATAATTTTGTTAAATTAACATTCACAACATACTTCTTTGTATCGTATGTCGTTAAAATTTACTACTGGACGCAGCATTGCTTGGGTAGCTGTTGCCCGACTAAAAATACCCTCCCTCTCCCCTCCCATTATCTAAGTGTGTTAAAATATATAATTTAAAAAAATCTTCAATAACGGTTGTATATTATTTAAAATGAATAAAACTAAGAAATAACCGTTTAGTGGCCGCGTAAGAATATCCACTACCCTATATCGTCCCGTGAGTGTCGTAAGAGGCGACAGAAGAAACGAAACCGGTAGACAGGCAGCAGCGTCTTCCTTACAAGAACTAGAAAAAACCTTTGCTTGCCCACCCGCCTATCAAGCATGGCTAATATGGCAAATATTTTCAAAACTGCAAGTTCCGAATCCTGAAATCATAATCTGAATAATATGCTAGTGTGAGGGATATTTTAATTAACATATTCAGCACCAGACAAATTTGAAATTTTTTGGGGTTTTAGTACCATTAAAAAAGATGAAGCGATCATTAAAAAAGATTTAATCCACCTTTTATGGCATTACGTGTAGGCGTATAATAATATATGTAGACCTGTAACGGGCAGTAACGTTAAAATAGACGTTTGGTATTGAGATAGCCTTATAGTATCAGAGAGTTACATATCTTTTATTCTCAATATGTCACTCCTAAAACGCCCGGGCCATAATATCCCCTCCAGTCCACCACGGACTAAACTTGGGTCTCGCACTATCTAATTAAACATTAAGATGTATATAATTGTGTTTCTTTAAACCTAATTGGTTAATTATACGTATATTAACAGTAAAGTTATTGAGAACTATATAAAGAGTAGTAGTAAAAAATTTATCAGTATATAAATGAAAGAGGTTCTTCCATGATGGTAATGCCTCTAGGCTTTAGGACTACCTCTAGTGTAAACGAATTAATTAAAATATATTATGGAGATCAGTTCACAAACAAATGAAGATATAGCGTAACATCCATACAAAAAACACAAAAAAAAGTTTGACCCTGCAGGCTATCATTGGAACTTTCCGCTAATTTCAAATGCAAAGCGCCCCAAAGGAAACAATCAATTTTCGTATGTAGATTTATTCCTTATAATCTATAGATTATAATAATAATATTAATTTTACCGTATCTCAACGTGAATACTGAAAATTCAACAATTAAAATATGAATAACACAATAACCTAAAAACAACACTAAAAGCGATTGTCTAGTACTTTTCACTGGTATTATAAGTTAAAATAGTGCACTGTTTAATAATTAATAGTATAAAACAAAGTTGCAGGTTCATTCAGCAATTATGTTAAAGTTGTTCCAACAAAATATAGAGCTTGTCTGTGTACAAATGTTTTATGGATAGCTTCTATCTTTAACATGTATTGATTGATAGTGAGTAGCCATCCCAAAGGCTAAGCTTTCCATTGACGTCCGTCGAGTTGGGGGTTGATATTTTTTTACAGAAAGGTTACATTAATATAAGCACACACGTAAAGTTTCAACATGCGGAAAAGCGTACTTTTTGAGAAAAAAATTATTGAAAATCAATTATTTTTGCAATATTTATGTCAATTTTTACCACAGATTACATCGAATTCTCGCCATTGAACGTTCGTTTTCCGTACGGGTGCATACTTCGGAGCATTTTGTTGTACATTTTACGTAAATAATTATATTTTGTACTCATTTAAATAGTTTTCATGCATACGCATATATTTATATTTAAATTATTTTTTATTTATTTATTTTAACATTTTATATATAAATTACAGAATTATTATCATTATGAGCTATTAAAATTAAAATGTGTAGTGTTTACCGTTTTTTGCCGGCTTGTGGGACGTAACGTAAAACTGACGATTTCTAAGAATTAATTAAAGCAATATGTGTATAAAATTGTATAAAACATGTGTATAAAATAGTACACACCTATTAGGACAGATAACAAATAAAATAAATTAGGTTCGAGAGAGGGCGCTGCACGGCCTGTGTAAACATCGTATCTGTGTTTATAAATTTCGTAAAAATGTTATATTAAAAAAATAAGTATTTTTTTATGTTTGTGTTCTTTGTGTGTATGTTGACTATAACTACAAGTGTTATCTCAATAGTACGAGACTTAATTATCGTAATAATATGCAATAAGTGTACCGACGGTGATTTTATGATAAATTTTTAAAATTATAGTATAAAAGCTCAATAAAATGTGCAAAAACATTGTGTGACTAGTGTTTCAAACGAATAACATTCAAATCTTAAATAAATTAATAAATAAGTGAAAAGAATCAGAAAAAACTTTTAAAAGTGACGGTTGAATAATTCAAATTGATTAGGGTGCTGAAATTGTTGGGATTTATTGTAATAGCGACATCTATTGACAAAGTAAGGTACTGCTATTGACTTTCATAACATATTTATAGTTTATATAGTTTTAGTGACTGCAACACTAGAGGGCGTTGTAAAAAATGGAAACCAACTCTGCATCTAAAGAGAAATATTGTTTCAAATGTAATAAAAAAATTAAAGGTGTGAATTATTTAAAATGTAATGTATGTAATAAATTTTATGAGCCAGACTGTACCAATGTCTCTTTTAAAAGATTTAATATTATGTCTAAGGAGAGAAAACAGAAATGGAGATGTACTAATTGCGTTCACGAAAAACAAAATAGCAGTACAATTATTTCACCTATGTGTACTACAAATTTAAACAGACAAGAGCAAGAAACTATCGAAAAAAATACTGATGAGCACAAATATGAAAAAAATGTGACAATAAGATCTAAAAAAAAATTACATAAAACATGTACCAGCTCGCAGATGAATACCTCGTTGACTTCATCTGATTCGGAATATGACATAAAGAGTTTACCTGATATTTCAACCCCATTCAATTTCGAACTGGAAATCATAAAGGAAGAATTGGAAAGAACTAAAAGCATACTCGCTAGCGCTAATTTGGAAATAGAGAATCTATTGCTTGAGAATAGCTCACTTAAAAAAAAGAATATGGAATATGAAAAGACGATTTCTCAACTAAGAGATACATGTAACAATCTTTTTTACGGGTCCCAAAAATCGGTCAGTTCGGTACAGAAAAAGAAAAATAGGAGAAGTTCTATATTAAGTATTGATTCAAACAAAGAAAATGAGCAGGACATGTTGATTTCGACAAAAACAAAATTGTTAAATGGGCAAACTGATTCTCAATTGAGTTTCCATAAATGTCCGCTAGATGGAACTTCAGAAAAAACGGAAAGTAAACAGCCGGTAAAACAACTCAAAGAACAGAAAATTGAAACTCAATCAACACATAGTACATTGGAGCAAAAAAAAATTTATATACTGGGTGATGAACAAGCGACAGGACTTGCGACTAAACTACTCATGCATCGAGAAATTAGGGGTGATAATAACTACAAAATTATGTCATTTATAAAACCACAATCTCTTTGTGCAGATTCGTTGGACTACTCTAATCATATAATTAAGAACTTAAACTATGACGACAAGATTGTGATTGTGACGGGTGCGAATGATTCTAACCCAATCAAATTATTAAACGATTTAAGCTAGGTGCTTTATAAGTTAAGTAAATGTAGTAGAGTATATATTTTAGAAGTCGTAAATAATCCTTATTTGAATACTAAAACATTAAATGATAATATAGCTTCTTTAGTTAGGTTATATAATAATTGTACTTTTTTGACATCAAGTGGTAATTTTTATAACGTAAAAGAATATTTGTGGCATATGAGTCGAAAAATAAATTTTAATATAGATTGCTTTGACTATGATACATCATTTCTATCATTAATTAAATTAAGAAATAGATTGACACACAACAAAACTATTAACTCCCAAAAAACTAAACCTAATTCACCTAAAGGTCAATTCATAAAGGGCACTATACCTTACTATTTTAATTTAATGAATAAAAAGAATGTTAGACATAATAATGAAAATTGCAATATCATCAACGAGAGCTCTAAAAATTCTAAACCAAATAGAGGGTTAATAACTTATTATTTTCATTCTGTAAAATCTTATAAACAAGTATCACATGATTCCTTTCGTCCATAAAGAAAAATCTTTAAATATGAAATTCACAATCTTACACCAAAATATAGCTGGCATTTGCTCCAAAAAAGGATATTTTAGAATTAACATTAAAAAATTTACACGAAGAGGAGCATACACGAATAGATGTCTTATGCTTAACGGAAACATTTGTTAAAGCAAGTGATTATAATAATTATAATGTTTATGGTTACAAATTAGCTAGTTTCTATGGTCGTAAAAAAAATAGAGGTGGTGTATGTATTTTGATAAAGAAAGATATAGAGTGGAATGAAATAAAATTTATTTCAGATTTAACAGAATCCGAGCATTTTGAATGTTGTGGAATAGAAATTCCTTTACATAATATTTACATAATATGCATCTATAGGACACCTGGTTCAAATGTGAATATATTCTTTTTTAAACTACACAACTTATTGTCAAAATTAATAAATAATCACAATAAAAGAATTATTAATTATATATTATATTACCTTGGAAAATAGTAAAAATACAATTGAATTAAATGATATCATTTCGAATTATAATTTATATGTACATATTAATGAACCAACGCGTGGAAACAACTGTATAGATCATATATTTAGTAATATAATGAATGCAACAACATGTGTTAAAAAGTTATATTTATCAGATCATGAATCCGCGCAAATATTATCTATTGATGTACATAAGCAGAGAAAAAAGCTAAATGATATTTGGGAGTATAAAAGGAATTATAATTTATATTACATTAATATGTTTCGTGAATGTATAAAAAAGCTTACTTTTAAGGAAGTTTTTGAGGACAAGGATATCAATTCTGCATACAATAAATTTATGGACCTTTTTATCTTATTTTATAATCTATGCTTTCCGATGATTAAGATAAAAAAACTAGACATGAAATATAAAAATAACTGGATTACAAAAGGTTTGAGACTTAGTTGTTTAATGAAAAGGAAACTCACAATTGGTTATTATAAGGAAAAGACTGAAGAGAATAAACAAAAATACAAAATTTACAGCAAATTACTAAAAAAATGTATTGACGTGTCTAAAAGAATAAATTATTTTAAACGAATTAATACCAGTAAGAATAAAGGAAAATGTTCATGGAATATGATAAAATCAGAGGCAGTGTTAAAAGAGAACGACAACTATTTAAATATGATAAACAAGAATAATGAATGTCTAAGATCTCCACAGAAGATTGCTAATGCTTTTAGTGAGTATTATGAAAGTCAGATAAGGATAGTTAACCTTAAGCAAGCGAAAGAAACACACCTGTATAACATTAAAAGCCCGTGCAAAAGTATGTTTTTACGTCCAATTACTCTGGAGGAGACAAAGTCATTAATAGTTAATTTAAAAAATTCTAGAAGTGAAGGTTATGATGGCGTAAATACAAAAGTAATTAAATATTGCAAGGATGAACTATCGCTTATACTTACATATTTGATAAATTTATCATTCGAAGTAGGTGCTTTTCCAGAGTCATTAAAACTATCTTTGATCAAGCCCTTATTTAAGCAAGGTGATAAAAAAGATATTAATAACTATCGTCCAATAACAATTTTGTCAGTTTTCTCAAAAATTTTTGAAAAAGCTATGCATAGTAGGCTTAGTCATTATTTTAATGAAAACAAGTTTATGAAAAAAGAACAGTATGGCTTTCAGCAAAACAAATCAACCACGATGGCGTGTTTTGATCTATTAAAAAGAATCACCGATGCAATAGATGATAAGGTAAATGTAACAAGTGTATTTTTCGATATGTCAAAAGCATTTGACTTTGTTTGCCATGACACCTTATTACGTAAGCTAGAAAAGTATGGAATAAGAGGACTGACATTGCAGTGGATAAAGTCATACTTATCATCAAGAAAACAGTGTGTGGAAGTTATAAGCCCTAATAAAAATAATATTTTGACAAAATTCAGATCGCGACTAGTTCTTAAGTACGCTGGAGTTCCTCAGGGAAGTGTTCTTGGACCTTTTTTGTTTGTAATTTATGTAAATGATTTACCGGATTCAACTCCATTCCCATGCATTTTGTTTGCGGATGACATATCTTTAATCATAAAAAATAATCATGGAAATAAAGATTATTATGAAAACGACATAAAATGTGCAATAAATGATGTCATTTCATGGTTACATAATAATAATTTGAAAGTCAATATCGCAAAAACCTGTTATTTACAATTCTATAGTAATAGTAGAAAGAAACTAGATCTTGACGTAAGATATAATAATGACAAAGTGCAAGAAAACGAACAGAAGAAATTTCTGGGAATAAAATTAGATAGTAATTGTAATTGGATGGCTCATATTGACGAAATTTGTAATAAAATTAATAGATTTGTATATGTTTTAAATAGGTTAAGAAGAACATCGTCAAGTCAAACCGCACTCATTGCATACCATGGATATGTTGCAACAATATTAAGATACGGATTATTAATTTGGGGTAATAGCTCTTATTCAAAAAGAGCTTTTATAGCTCAAAAAAAGTGTGTGAGAGCCCTAACTGGGGCCAAATGGTATGATTCCTGTAAGCCCTTGTTTAGGGATCTTAACATACTAACTTTACCAGGTATGTACATATTTGAAGCAAGTGTTCATGTAAAAAAACATTTACATATGTACAAAAATGCATCTGAGGTATACTTGCGTAGCAATCGAAATTCTAATAGACTAGTTATAGAACGTATACCTAAAACTGCATTTTATCATAATGGCTGCTACGCGATGAGTGTAAAAATTTACAATAAACTTCCGGTAAACATTAAAGAAGAGACAGAAACTGGTAAATTTAAAACCAAACTAAAAAAGCTGGCTACTACTAAAGTGCGTTTATGACGTAAAACAATTTTTAAATGAATAATCTTGCTGCCTGAACTTGACATTAATGTATTCTTTTAGACTATTTTTTGTGTAATCTGTAGATTTTGTATATGTACTCTTTTGACATTCTAATTTTTACTTTTTATAATGATTGACATGTTGATTGTATTTTAATTTTATTTGATTTAAATGAATAATGCATATTTAAATTCTTTGCTTGTAATAATGATTGTAATTTTAACGTTTTTAATTTATATTCATTTGTTTTAAATTAATCAATGTAGGTACATGACTATGTCTTTTCGTTTAATTAATAATTTTCGCATGCCAGATGTGGTAAACATGTGGACTATATACAATATCCAATATTTGTCACCTCTAATGTACCATGTTTAAGCGAATAAATGAAATTATTATTATTATTATTATTATTATTCAACTTATGTCAAGGAACCGAATCAATAGACCCCGACTCCACGTGGTACGAGTCTGTCCTACCCCTAGAGTGTTTTTATAGAGCCGGAGGCGCGTAGGGAGAGCAGCCTCCGCCTGCTGTAACAAATCGTAGGCATCGGACGAGCCGGAGCGGCTGAGGCTGGTCGCCGAAGGCGACCAACAAGCCGAAGCTGCGGAGGCGAGGCTATATATATTTATATCATATATATCCATAAAAAATAAAATTTCCTCAGAATTAAAATTGAAAAAACTCAAAAAAGGGGGGGGTTTTCCTTTTAAGGGGGGAGTAGTACACCCCCCCCGCACTCCCACCACCTCCAATTCGACGAACGATAATGGAAAGTCGTACCATCCCAAATACCATTACAGTAACATGATTAGAGCCAAGATGAGTAAGGGATAATATGCCCATTTATGATATTACCTACACACGCTATACCTATAGTAAGAAAGATGATTTAAACTGGTTGTGCTAATGATAAAAAACACAAAGTATAATGCCACTGCCTAATAAATGCAGTTGTGGTGTTGAATTATACTTGGTGTTTCGTAGATCATCATTTCTAAAGTAGAATATTAGTAGTAGAACAGACAGACATATATGCACCGTGTTAAAACTTTATTTTAATATTTTTCGGTTGATTAGTAAGTACTTATATATATCTTAAATAACATTAAACCCAAAATGACTGGTATTACCCAGTCATTTTGGGTTTAATGTTATTTAAGATACCCTTTTATGACAAGTAAAATGTTTTGAACTGGTTATTTAGTTAGAAAAAAAATTAATATCACTGTAAAAAATGTTTCATAAACATGGTTGTGTGGGAACTTTATTTGTATTGATTGATTGATTAGCATATCCTGGACACTAAGTCTAGTAATGTAAACAATGATATGTATTAAGCTAGACATCTGAAACTGATTATGTAAGAATGTAAAAATTCACTGTATTTATTTATTATAATTGATCATCATCCTAAAGCAGTATATACATAAAGGTGCAGTGTGTAAACTTTGTTTTAAAATGGGTTAACTGATTAGTTGATACACCCCTAATATTATTTAAGCTAAAAAGACTAGGCTGATAATATCTTGTCTTGTTTATCTATGTTATAACACACTAATAAATAGTAAGGAAATAAGATGTTTTAAACTGGTTATGTAAGGATAACAAAAACACATGTATAATTTCAATTTTATTTATC